AGTTTTACGATAAACGTTCGTTTTAAGTCCGAATTGAGTTCCGTAAATTGTATTATTCTCGGTTCATTAGCATGATCTAAGACCATATATGAGCATTACTTTTCAGTAAAAGAGTTTTAAAAATCAGCCATTTTGAAAGAAAATGCATAAGTAATAAAAAAGGATGATTTTTATTATTTTTATTATTTTGTTCCAAAGATTTTTATATGATGAATGGTGATATTTTTTCAATAATATATGGAATCAATTACATCACATTAAGCAAAATTTTGGTCATCAATTGGTGAGAATGAGATGAGAAAATCACAACAAAGTTTTGCTAAGTCTTTAAGTTAGCATTTTTTTCAACAATTGGTGAGAATTTTATTAGACTTTGATGGACTAAGTTTTATCTACCAAAAGCTCATTCATGGCTATAAATAGAGGCATTTCAATCAGATTTTATCATCAAGTATCTTCTCAAATCATCATAGTTTCATCAAAAAGATAGAAAGAGAAAGAAAAATAAAAATAAAAATAGTAGAATTTTAATTTTTGAAGAAGTCAAGGAGCAACTATAGATTTTCAAGCAAGAAGGAGGTAAGATGCTATCTTTTTATCATGCTTAGTAGATGATATTAAGTGTTTAATAACGTTTTTATATGAATTAGATATTAAAGTTTTATAAGAGTATAAGCATGCTAGAAGATAAGTTATTTCCAGCTCATATATATGTCATATGTGTTCAGTTATGATGAGATTTTTACCTAGCTATGAAAAATTTGGAAATCTATGCTTCCTATGGTTATTTCTTGTGTAAAATAGGAGTACATAGGATCAAGAATCAAGTCATTTAGTTTAGTATAACTCAAGATATGAATTTTTAAAGTTTATCATGCAAGCTGAATTTTATGTACTTGTTTCCAGCAGCAACTTTAAACTTGAATAAGTCGAGATATATGCATGATAAAATTATGAAATTTTTATGACATGTCTAAATATGATTAAGAATATGACTGTTAAATTTCATGATTTGAAGATGAGGTTTGAATGAGTTAAGATATTTAGACGGCATATATGTAAAGATGAGTATATATGCAAGAATATTCATGATATGATCAAGTTATTAAAGTGAGATTATTATGATCAATTCTCATATAAGTGATGAGCAATTTGGAAAAAATTTAGTTTAATATTTTAACTATATAATCTCATAAAGATTGTATAAGTATGACATATTAATATCATAATTAAATGTTATGATTAAAAAGTTGAAGTATGACTTGAGTTTATTTTCACTTTCAAGTAAATTTAGTGACAATTTAATATAAGCCAATATTTAAAATTTGGGAGATATGATGTATGATGAATTAAGTATTTGATTGAGTAAAAGATTAAGATGAGTTTATGAATATGATGTTGGTAAAAGTTAAGCATGTTTTGAGTTTAAGTACTCAATCAAGTGTAATGTGAAATTTTGTTATTTTCACATTTGAGTTATTTAAGTGACATGTGAGTGTAAACCAATATCTATGATTTTGAAGATATGATTTATATATGGTTAAATAATTAACCTTGAGTAAAAGTTTAAGAAAAAGTTAAGATGTTTGATGATTTAATATTTATTTGAGACATATTAAGCTTATTGAATATCTTTAAGATTCGGATAAGTAAGAGTTAAATCTTATTGAGTATAAGAGCATAGTACTTAGTATATTTGTTTATATTTTTATGTAGCTTGCAGATATAACTACCCAAGAGCAACACTTACATTTTTCAAAAGTTTTCAAAAGAAAGGTGGGGACCCAGATTGGGGATTACATTGAGTATAATATTGATATCATGTCTGAGGTATGTATAAAGTTTAACTTTTTACGCTTGGGATGAATGCCCCAAGTTGCCTTACAATTACATCCTATGTTCTGATGGAGGCCCCAAGTTGCCGTAAGAAATATCCATCAGATTGTGCACAAGTATCCGATCAGATATCGGAAAGAGAAAGAGTAAAGTTTCATTAACTGGAACAGATTTTCAGTCCAGATATATATACCAAAGATCATGATATTGTATTATTATTGTTGTTTACTTTAGTATGGGTGTTTTCGGGGTACAAGAGGATCAGTACTCACCCCCATTGTGTTTTTCAGGTAACAGGGTCGGGCCGGAGGTGTGAGCTTAAGAAGTGGTGGTGGTGGTCGTGCACTTAATTCAGTGGACAATTATTATGGATTTGATATGTCTGTATAATAAATCACGTTTTTAAGTATTTCCCCTACGCATATTAAGACTTGAACTTGCATTTTAATCAATTTCAGATTTCAAGTTTTTTTATCATTTCAGAAGTATGAATATGGTATAGTTAAATGCAAGTTTAAATCATCTGTTTTCTTTATGTCTTAAGAAGTATTAGACAAAGTTTAAAGATAAACGGATTTTTAGAAAAGATGAGTTTTAGTAGCATCCCGAGTTAGTCGCAAAAGATTTCGAAAGATTTATAAGTATTTTCAAAGTAAAAGTTGCGAAAAATTTACTCTGATAAGCGGGGTGTTACAACTTTATTATCGGAAGTAGCAGCAAAATCGTTCATAAACAACTTAGAAACTGAAACTAAATTCTTTATAAAGCTAGGAACATAAACACAATCATGCAAAATTAAAATCCAATGTAAACCAAATTCTAAGTAGATATCTCCCACTGCAACTACTGACACTTTACTAGCATCGGTGACCTCTCCTTCCCTAAGTCGGTTGGTTTCCTAGAACCCCTGCAAATTGTTGCAGACATGATCAGTGGCTCCTGTATCTACACACCAGGTACTGGTAGATAACACCGCTAAAAACATGCTATAATGACTAATGAAAAAGATTTACCTTTATCGCCCTTCTTGAGGAGAGGGCAGTCGGCCTTCCAGCGTCCTTTCTGCTGGCATCTGTGGCATTTTCCTTTTGGCTTCTTCGCTATCCTTTAAGGTTGCAGGTCATTCATGACGGCCTTGCCCTTTCCTGCAGACTTCATCCTCTTCTTATCGTTGGCGTGCTTAGAAGAAGATCCCTCGCCTCGCTGGGCCACCATAGCTTGAGGCTTTTAACTAAACAGGCCCTCCGCCGACTGAAGTTCTGCTAGAAGTCCCGGAAGAGTCAACATCATCATGTTCATGATGTAGTTCAACTGGAACTACTAAAAACTCTTCGGCAGAGACTGGAGGACTATATCGACCTGCGTTTCCGCGTCAATAAAACCCCCTAGGACCTCCAGCTCTTTCAGCTGGGCCATCATTGCAAGAACATGTTCCCTTACGGGAATGCCCTCGCGCATGGTCATAGTCATCAAAGTTCTCATGGCGTCTCGTCAGGCAGCCCGGGATTGATGACCAAACAGTTCCTTAAGATTGTTGAGCATATCTGTTGCAGTGTCCATAGACTGATGCTGATGCTGAAGCACATTTGACAAAGAGGCCAAAATATAACACTTCGCCATCTCATCAGTCTTTTGCCACTTAGCATACTCTTCTTTCTCTTGATCCGTTGATTTATCTCCCGACTTTTCCGACAATACTCAACAGTAGCAAATTTATACCCCTCAGCAGTTAACACAATATCTAAGTTTCTTTCCAGTCAATGTAATTAGGACCAACAAGTTTGTTTTCTTTTGAGAATTACGGACAATGGATTGAAAAACATTTTGAATTCCTGGGATCATGCAAACATAGTTTTACTTAGTCAAGTGTTTCAAATTTAACTATCAAATATTAACCCCTTTAAAACAATATTTAAATACATTCACCGACACCTCAAAACACCAAATCCCCACAGGCCACGGTGGTGTGGACATCTACGGTTCATACCGTCGCATGATAAGAGTTTAAAATGCATTAAGTAACTTACTGTCCCAACAACACTTAATTAATGGTCAGTACACTTTAGGTCAATAATTAGATAGCAACTTACTCCGGTGGTGGAGATTCATCAGTAAATGTACTTTAAGTGTATCCCATTAATTGGTACCAATTCCACTACATAATTCATCTTATGACCCACGTAGGAGTCATACATGAGTTTTTTTCTATGAAAGCAATAAACTATGCGGTGTCCCACCGCATAGTTTATTAAAAGCATTCACCAACCCAAAAACTTCTCAACATGTCCGAGGCTTAGAAAACAACACAAATGAATCAAAACCATACATACAGGCCATAATAGTCGGATTCAAAATCACCTGTAAACAACTCATTGAAATTTCTAATCTACTATGCGCTGCATCTGTACGCAATTAATTCACATAAACAGGTAAGTCCTAATTCAAAACGTGCACGAAGTCGAATTAAACCTGGGCTCTGATACCAGTTGTTGGGTTCTACTAGGAACGACAACAACACGCATGTTTGAATTTTGGAAAAATAAACCCTCACGCAGCAGAATCTATAGTTAGGGTTTGGACATTACCTTTTAAAATTTTTACCGACTCAGAGACGTTTCTGATTTCTTTTGATGGAGGTCGTCTGATTACCACAACCAAATCAGTTGAAGGGTTTGGCCTTTGTCGACTCTAGTCGAGTGTTGAATCACGAATGGATCACCGGATCGGGCTCGTCGGGCTCGGGCCGGACGGATCGGGTTTGGGTTGCAAGGACTCGGGTCGAATCGGGTCCGATCATGTCTCGGGTTGGGTTGGGTCGCCGATAGTTCGCGGACGGGTGCGGTTCAGCGCTGGTCGCGGTTGGGTTGCGGACGGGCGCTGGCGGCTGGTCGCGGACTGGTGCGCGTCGGGTCGTAACACGCTGGTCGCTGGTCGAGGACGGGTCGGGACGAGCGGACAACAGCGAGGTCGACGG